TGGATTTGGAGATCAGAGCCATCAGATGTGGGAAAGGAGGGTGTGGTGTGGGCTTCCCAGATCTTGAAAGCTGTCATTCCAGTCTCTAGATCTGTGACAAGTAGGCATTAAGTCCACACTATTCCTGAAATCACTTCTGCTTCTAGAAGCCTCCAATAGAGCTCCAGATCTCTCAATGAATAAGAGTAAGCTGTCAGTGACAACTTCCACCAGATGGCGCTAAGGTGCAGTTGGAACCTAAGGATTTGGCTCCTGCAGCTAGAACCAGAACTCCCACCAGCCGGCAAACAGGCCCAGTGGTGTTGTTTCATGCATCTCTCAATAACATCACTCTGTGTTTTGATTTGTGTTTTCAGACTCTATTGACTTCCTTGTAACAGGTTTACTGTGCATTTATAAGGCTGGGTCACGTGAATAATCCAGAAACAAAATGAAAACGCCTGCATTTCTGCCTACACAATTGCTGAAACTGCTCAGTTGTCTCTTAAATTCCTTGGAGAAAAAAATTATTATTCAAATATCTGAACATAAGCAACTGGTTAAATATTTTATCTCTTCTGCTTTTGCATATACATATTTAACCTAAAAAATGATTATACCTGTTGTTTGGACCATGCTGTTGTATTAAGACGTATCCTGGCAATATTTTCTTACCCACACACTATCACATTATTTCATCCAAATCAAGCCCTATAGGTTATTTTTGTTCCTTCCAATATTTTGCTATTGATAAATATTGAGAATAGTGCCCAGGATATTTGATATTTGCAGGATAGCTTCCACCAGGAAATTTTGCACACTCCACAGCACTGATTATACTCAAATATTATCATCTTTGACGGTTTTTACAGATGGAGTGTGGTGTCTAGTTCTTTGTGTGTGCATCTTCTCCAGCTGAGAACCAGGCTCAGAGATCTAGGAGCCTGTGTGGAAGAAGCCCCGGCGGTGCCCTGACTCCTCCTGTCCAGCAGAGGGCGCGGCCCGGCCGCTCCCGCATGCGCAGTGAGCGGTGTGTCAGACGCCGGGGAGCCTAGCAGCCGGCGCGGTCTTCCCAGCTGGCTCGCGCAGACCTGGCCCTGGCGGCGGCCCCCACCTCCCCGCCTTCGGACCCGGGCGGCCGTGGCCCGCGCCCAGCGGCATGAGCCGGTGACCGAGCGCGAGGCCGAGCCGAAGGCAGCCGTGGCTGAGGTGAGCGCGGCGCGCAGGGGCCTGGCCCCGGGGTGGGCGCGCGGGCAGCCAAGGCCCGGGGGAAGGCCACCCCGAAACGACTTCCCTCAGTGGGGACGCTAGGATTCTGGCACCCGCTTCCGGGCTGCGCCGACGCCGCTGGCCTCCCCACCGGTCCCCCTCGCGCACTGCCCCCGCCCGCCCTCTCTTTGCTCCCGCACCCCTCCGGCTCCCGGCTCCCGGCTCCCGGCTGCCGCCCCTCCCATGCCGAGGCCTTGCGCCCCTGGGTGCGCCCCGCGCACTGCTGCGCTCCTGGGCAGGGCTCGCGCCCCGCGGAGGGTGGCCAAGGGCGTGCTGGCCCTGGGCGTCGCCTGGAGGCTCAGAGGCCCTTGGAGCTTTGTACCGGTGGTGGGAGCAGATCTCGGAATAGTGTGGAGACTCCAGTAGTTGCTTGGGGAAGCGCTCCTCCAGGTGGGTCCTGTGCTTGTTTGTCCTGAGATAGAAATATATCTAACTTTTCTTGTAAGTGAGTTAATTGTCCTAAATACTTCAACTGGCCTTGGTTTATATGTTTCAGAGCTCAAAGTCTATTCATGGTAATAAAATATATGATTCCATTTCTATCACTCTTCCCTTTCCCAGCCGTAAGCCTCCTGGTTGCGTGTGCGGGTGTGAATGGACAGTGGGCTCTAGAGCTAGACGGCTGCTGTGTTTGGAATTCTAACTTTGACATTTTCTGGTTTTGTCCTATTGGACAAGTACTTGCCTTTATGTACTTTCTCCATCTGTAAAATAAGGGCAGTATTAGTTTGTCACCCAGCAGTGTTATGAAGATTAAATAAATTAACACTAATAAAGTGCTTGAAACAGACCCTGGCGTGTAGTAAGTGCTCAGTATAGTTACTGGCTATTTAGTGGTATTCACTGTATTAATTACATTATCATTTCCACAATTAAAAGGCACAGTTCTTTTAAATTGGAAACCATTTTTAGAGGCAGTTAGCCATAGTGTAATTGTAAAGAATCATCAGGCAAGGCAATGAATTGTGGATTTTCCTGCTTTTGCTCATATTTGGTTCCTTTGTTTTTTGGAGCAGATTGATTAATTTCTAGTGTGGCAGTGGTCCTGGAAGGCTGTTTGGGCTTCTCTAAAAAGGTTAAAAAAGACAAGAAATTGCGATTGAAAACCTTGGACTCACCTGGGTGTGGTGGTACATGCATATAATCCCAGCAGCTCAGGAAGATTGCAAGTTCAAGGCCGCCCTCAGCAATTTAGTGAGGCCCTAAGCAATTTAATGAGACCCTGTCTCAAAAATAAAAAAGGCTGGGGTGGGGGAGGAGGGGATGTGGCTCAGTGGTAAAGTGCCCCTGGGTTAAATACCTGGTACCAAAAATAAAATTAAATAAAAATAAAAATGGAGTAAAAGGATTGAATATGGCCTGAAGCACAGAAGAAATGCTATTCAGGCAAATTTTTTGAATAAATAATTCCAGGAACAGAAAATGCATCTCATCTTGACAGTAGCTTGGGGTTAAAAGACTTTTCCAGTGACTCAGTGCCCAGAAGACTCAGCTATCCAGAAGATTCCAGTGTTTTGCAGGGATGTATTTGATGTTTTTAAAGGAGGGTGAAGTTTGCAGAGCTTTGATTCGGGATTCCGTTTTTGATCTAGATTGCCGTCATATAGAACAAACATTCATTTGCAGAAGTTTCCTTTCTTTCTGTCCCCTCCTGTGACTTCTTGCTGGTTCTGAGCATCCTCTTGGAATGGAAAGATGACAACTCATTTCCTTGGTGATGGTTTTAGAGATATCCATCTTCCTGTACTTCAGCATGCAAAAACTCCTGTGAAAGTTGGTTCTGTATGTTTTAGAGGTGCAGCTGGGATGCCCCGAGTCAGGAACATCATGGGTTCAATCTAGGTAGGAAGTTTTAACATAAGGGAGGCAGTTCAGCACAAGTTTGTGAGGGCAGGTGCAGGGAGCAGGGATGTTCTTTGGATGTGTTTATGTGTGGTGGGTAGTGGGAGAGGAGGTTTTTAGGGGTGGGTACAGAAAATTCAGAGTCTGTGAAATAGCTAGCCTTTTTCTCCCTTTTGGAAACTTTTTCCAATTCAGCAAAGACAAAAATTAGAAGCCCTCACCATGTAATAACTCGAACCTATGGATGCAGAACAGTGTGTGCCAATGCAACTGAGGAGGAGAGATTTGTTTTATTTAATGAGCATTTACGTTCTGGACTTGGTATTAGCTGGGGGATACTGAGCAAGACTCACTGCAAGAAAACCACAACCAGTAGAGGAGACAGACTTGCAAGTATGTAACTAAGGCAACACTGGAAGTGCTGTAATGGAGTTTGCAGAAGGTAGGTGGCTTCTCAGAGACGGTCTCCAGCTCCCCGGCTTTCATGTCTCACCCCCCATTTCTTTTATCACAAATGCTTACTCTGCCCCAGGTGTTTGCCATAGCCTCAGCTTTTATTCTTCAGAGGCTGATGCAGACTCTTGGGCATTTGCTTAACTGTGAAGGATACTCAGGAGCGGGGAGGAACGTGCATCTAAGGCTGGGCTTTGGTGGGGAATGCCCTGGCTTCCAGTGCATCTGAGGTATGTTCTGCTTGAATCTGCAGGGGTTCCTAGCCAGGCTCAGCTCTGTTTGCTTGGCTCAGTATGGTGACCAGCTCAGTCGGGTATCTTGAAGGCTTTCTGTTCTTCCCTGACACTCTTCCTTATTCCCTCACTCTGGCTGTCTGGATCCACCTACGTGGGCAAGCCACCCAGGTCCAAGATGTTTTTCTTAGTTTGGCAGACCACAGACTAAGGCTCTTCTTAGAAAGCAGGCCCTGAGAAGAGTACTCTGAAACTGAACCCTTCACCCTCAGGTGGCAGCAAGGGCCCCTTTATCAGTGGCAATGAGAGGCTGGCAACCCCTGGTGCTCTCTAGTATCACAACTGTAAGACTCTCAGGATGGAAGTTGGGAGGAGATCCAAGTAGGAGGCAGAGCAGCGGCCAGCACGGTACTCTAGCACTGAGGGTGTGTGGCCAGCGGTGGTTGTGAGGATGGAGGGGTTGGCTGGCTCCTGTTGCAGCCATTAGAAGCCTTGGGTTAAGAGAATGCTGGGCTCAGGTCAGCCAGATGTCAACCCCGTGCAGCGTAAAAGACAGGAGTCTCTGCAGCCCTCTCTCCTGCAGCTGGAGGACAGACTGAGGTCAGGCCCAGGACTGAATCGTGATCGTGGCAGAACTGCACAGGAGGCTGAAGGCGCAGCTCTCACTGGTCTCCTCCCCTACAGCAGGGGCAGAGAGAGGGGAGAAGCACCAGGATGGAGAGACTGGGTGGAGGCGCTGAGAGCGGTGAGCTCCTGCTCTGCCTTAGACCCCGGGGCCAGCAGAGCTCCTGCCCTCCGTGGCAGAGGAGAGCAGCCTCTCCTAGCTTGGCAAGGGCAGAGCCCTCACTGAGGTGCCTGCTTCAGGACCAATGCTTGTCCTCCTCAAGATCTCCCTCCCTCTGATCTCAAAGTGACCTTAATAGGGAGGCCTGCTGGCCCTGGCTAGTGTGGACCAGTAGGTACCTGGGGAACATGTGGAGCAAATCTTCTACAAGTGGGGGAAGGAGAGAGAGTCTGTTACCATGGGAGCGTTGTCTCATGATCAGGGTTTAAGGGCCTAGCAGGACAACCGCTTGAGGCCTTCACAAGACAGTGATGTGTACTAGTGGTTCCCACCTGGCGCGGTTTTGCCTCCTCTGGGAGGTTTGGCGGTGCCGTAATGGGCAGCGAGGCTGGACTCACAGCCTGGCAGGCTGTCTTGACCCATTGTGCTGCTAAGAGAGCATGGTGCTCCTGAGGGCAGTGTAGGTGGGCAGCCAGTTAGGGTATTGCCTGATTGTTTAGCCTGGCAGAACCAAGAGCTGGCAAGTAGAAGCTGAGATAGAAAGATCACCATCCCTCACCTGGTGTTCTGACGTGAGCCAGAGCTCAGACCCATGTCCCAGGGACTAAGGGGGAGGCTAGGTCTCTCTGAAAAAGGACCTTGTAACATCCCTGCCAAGTGTAGACCAGCACCCCCACCCTTCTGCAAGGGAACTGCAGCTCTTTATCAGGACAACTGTAGAGGGGGGAAAGGATAATGTCCAGACCTTTAGAGGGCTGTGCAGTACAGAGTCGGAGCTGATCCTAGGACCAGACAACCCCTAGCAAGAGTGGATGGAGCTGCAGGTAAACGCTCTAGCTTCCCAGCCTCCTAAGGGCCAGCAGGGAGCCCATGTGGTCGTCAGAAGGCCCTTAGCTACCTCTACCCACAGCAGTAACCAGCTACTGGCTTTCCATGCTCCCCATCTCTCTCCTTGTTTCCTCATTCTGGCTTTCAGAGATCACTTTCCAAGCAAATAACTACTTGCATGCCTTACCCTGGCTTTGTCTCTGCTGACCTTGAACTTGAGAACCTTCTGCCTCCATCTCCTGAGAAGTGCAGACTATAGGCGTGCACCACATGCACCACTGTAGCCAGCTTTATTTTTTGAAAAAGCGTTTAAGTAATAATAATAATAATAATAATTATTATTATTATTTTGGGTTTGTTGTGATGTATCTTTTTTATAGTTCATGAAAACTAGTAAAACTTGTGTGTGGATACTTTTTTTTTTTTGGGGGTACCAGGGATTAAACTCATGAGCACTCAACCACTGAACCACATCCCCAGCCCTGTTTTGTATTTTATTTAGAGAGAGGGTCTCGCTGAGTTGCTTAGGTCCTTGCTAAGTTGCTGAGGTTGGCTTTGAACTTGCAATCTTCCTGCCTCAGCCTCCCAAGCTGCTGGGATTTTTTTTTTTTCCCTTTTTGGTGTTTTATTTCACAGTGAAACCAGATGACTTATTTGTGCTAAATGAATGGAAATACTTTCCTGTATTCCTCTATACTTATTTTCTTTTCCTCTAAGAAATACAGTATTTTGTGGCCATTTTGCTAAGATAGTCCTATAATGTCCCTTTCAAATAGTATTTTCTAATAGTATTTTGCACTTTTAAGATACTTATTCAGGCTCTTAGGAGAGCACAAAGAATGGAAAGGGAAACCACATTGGTTCTGTTACAATCCCATTGCCCCCTACAGCACACATCAAAGAGCACATCAGCCATGGAAATCACTGGTGGGCTGGACACTTATGGGCTCATGTTAGAGGGGCCAGCTTCCGGGGGTCAATATTAAGGATAAAGGAAAGAATCACATCTTACAGGAAAGAATTATCCATCCCATGTATGTGGAGAAGATATACATACATGGGATGGATAACTTTAGGCTATCCAGTTTACAAGAGACATGGGTGTGGATTTAGATTGAAAATAACTTATAAAAAGTGTATTTGTAGAAAGCTCTGTTAAAGGATAGGATAATATCCAGACCGGTTGAGGCTGTTGAGTTAGGGTCTGAGCTGATACTAGTACCAGGCAACCCCTAGCCAAGAGTGAATAGGAGTTGTAGGTAAATGCCCTAACTACGTCTGGGGACACACACACACACACCTGCTCTGTGTGTGGTAGACACTGATTCATCCAACTTCCCACTCTACACTGAAAGTTAGATTTTCAAAGGCCTGAGTTTTAGTGCTAAATTCTTGGTACGTTTGGTAAACAACATTATAATTGGAGGTACAAAAAAGACATCCCTTTTTGTTTTATAAACCTAAAAACCAGGAAAATGAAACTCTGAGACTAACCGAAAGTTTCACACTTTTGCTGTATTATTGAATACATACAGCAAATGCTCCAGCAGGGAATGAGTGTGCAGTAGATTCAAGGAGAACACTGATGGACGGTCATGGGGTTAGTGTGGTGAGCCACAACAGTGGCTGTGCTTCAGCCAACATTTATAACAGGAGCTGGGAAGCCTAGACAACCTGTCAGATCCACATATGCCAGGGAAGCAAGCCTTTGGCATTGAATAGATTGGCTTTGATGGACATGTCCCAGCTTGAAATTCAGACAAAGATGTACATAAGGATCCTTTTACTGTTCCCTTAATCCAGTTTCACTATATGTAAAAATAGCATTTTTCAAACTGGGTGCTACAACTGATCTTATATGTTAGGGCCCAGATTTATTAAAAAAAGCAATAGTATAGCAGAATAGGAAAGTAGAGGATTCATTGCAAGTGTTTCCTGTGTGCTAGGGTTAAATGCCATTTTATGAAACTTATTACAATACACACATGTCTGTGTTGGGTGACAATATTCAATGTACTTCATGCTCCAGGTTTTAGGTAGAAAAAAAGATTGAAAACTACCGTGTTGTTTAATATTAGGAAAGGTTTCAGACATGATTGCACAAAATAAGCACCTGAGGAGCTTGCTGAGTGAGTGATTTTATGACCCGATTTTAGACTATTAAGAACAAGTTCCAGTCGTGGGCCAAGGAATCTGCTTTAACATACTCCCTGTGATTCTCACCCTTGGGATGTTTGGGAGCCACTGATTGGTGTGTGAGTGGCCCTTGTGAGCTCCTTGGGAATTTTTGCATGAGGGCCAGTAGAGAGCAGCTCCTGGCATGCATTTGTCCCCACCTCTCAGTGCTTTCTGTAGGAGGGACACACAGAGTTGCAGGGAAGCCATATCATAGGGTAGGCCTGGAGGTGGTGGGGCCTAGGGACAGACTGGGAGTGTCCTGCTGGTTGTTAGAATGACAGATGTGAAATAGCTCTGTGCTCATATATTTCTATTATAGAATAAGTTAGCAAGTGGGGTGTAGTGGTGCATGCTTGTAACCCCAATGACGCGGGAGGCTCAGACAGGAGGATCGCAAGTTTAAGGCCCGCCTCAGCAATTTAGTGAGGCCCTAAGCAACTTTTGATACTCTGACTCAAAATGAAAAATAAAAGGGGCTAGGGGTGTAGCTCAGTGGTTAAGCACCTTTGGGTTCAATCCCCAGTACCCCTCCCCCCCACTAATCAGCATATGTTGAATGGCTATTGCTTTTTCCCCAATTATGAGAATTGTTAAGCTTAAAATTCATGAACACATGTACACTAGCCAATGTCAAGCTAATTCCTTGATATGTTCCAAATCATGGTCTCAAGAGAGATCAAGTTGAAATCATTCATGACTTTCCAGCACCTTTTACTCAAAAAGCTAACGATGATTACTGTCATCAAGACTGGGCTGTCCTTAGCCAGGGGCCATGAAGCAGTAGTGCTGTGTGGGCGGTGCAGGGAGAGCTCCATTTGTCCTGAGCGAAATGAGAGTCTGAGCTTCTCAGTGACTTCCTTTTACAGTCAGCTGTCTCACAGATCAGTGAGTGGAGTGGGACCCTTGTGTAGACTGGGCTTTGACACGCGGAATGCCAAAGTGGCTTGTCGAAGTCAGTGGTAAGTCAGTGACATGATGTAGTCACTCTGCAGGCTCTGCTCTCCGCACAGCATCTAGGCATCATAGCATCTAGGGAGTGGGCTTGGTGAGGAGCTTGGGTTGTGGTCTTCAGGGAGCTCCACATTTTCAGCTGAGGATGAAACGTCTTTCTTTATGTCTCAGCCCACAATGCTTGTTGGCTGTTCTCCTACTGCTGTGTAGGAGACCACCCCAAAACTTAGTGACTTAAAACATCCGCCACCAGCTCATGTCCCCTGCTTCCGCAGTCTGCACAGAGCTCCCCAGCGGTGGCTACTCTGCTCTTCAGGATTTCAGCTGGATTCACCTGAGGGCACTTGGGAGCTCGGCTTCCTCCTAGGCTTCCTCCTAGCATGACTGCTGGAAGAACTTAAGGGGCCAGAAGCAGAGGCTGTGGGGTCTCTGAAGGCCTGGGCTCAAGTCTCAAGTGTCACTTCTACCACCTTGTTATGCTCAGAGAAAATCATAATTAGCCCAGTTTCTGGGGGGAGGAGTATAGGTTCTACCTTTTGGTTGCAAAAGTGTCACACACATTTGTGGACAGGAGGAGTGTTCACCTGTGCCTTTGGAGAGGGGTCCACTGCCCTTTTTCCCCTCTCTCCTCCCTCTTCCTCTCCCTCCCAGGATCTTCCCTGGCCTGCTCGTTCATTTAGTCCTTCTTCCATCTAAATGTGCCCACTCTAACCTTCGTTATCAAACATCAACATGTATTTTGTTTAAAGACTAAAGATCTTCTCTGATACCCTTTGTGCTTTTCCAGTGCTTCCAAATGGTGTTTTCACATCTGTGTAGGAAACCACCCCAAAACTTAGTGACTTAAAACTATGTTACAGTTTTTTCCTCTTAAACAAGGACGTCATTTGCCACACTAAGTGCTTGATTTTTCTTGTTTCTCTCCCTGTTGACCAGGAGTGTGAGGAAGAGGCTGTCTGTGTCATTATGTGTGCGTCGGTCAAGTACAATATCCGGGGTCCTGCCCTCATCCCAAGAATGAAGACCAAGCACCGAATCTACTACATCACCCTCTTCTCCATTGTCCTCCTGGGCCTCATTGCCACGGGCATGTTTCAGTTCTGGCCCCACTCCATCGAGTCCTCAAATGACTGGAGCGTGGAGAAGCGTAGTGTGCGGGACGTGCCAGTGGTCAGGCTGCCAGCCGAGAGTCCCATCCCTGAGCGAGGGGACCTCAGTTGCAGAATGCATACATGTTTTGATGTCTACCGCTGTGGCTTCAACCCAAAGAACAAAATCAAGGTGTATATCTACTCTCTGAAGAAGTATGTGGACGACCTTGGTGTCCCGGTCAGCAACACCATCTCCCGGGAGTATAATGAACTGCTCACGGCCATCTCAGACAGCGATTACTACACCGACGACATCAGCCGGGCCTGCCTGTTTGTGCCCTCTATTGACGTGCTCAACCAGAACACACTCCGCATCAAGGAGACCGCGCAGGCACTGGCCCAGCTCTCCAGGTACCACGCTTAGAGGGCCAGTGCCTGGGATAGGAGCGCTTCTCCT